ATACAAAAAACTTAAATATTGATCATACAATATTTATATTTAAATAATAATTTGTTTTTTTAGCTAAGTTATTTAAAATTAAAGAGAACAAATAAAAAATAAGAAAGAGATATAAGAGATAAAAAACAAAAGTTAAGTATAGATTAGTGGGGTTGAGTGTATAAGTTGAGTTGTGTGACATTAAGAGATGTGTAGAGAAAATGATGTTTTTGAATAGAGAAAATTTTTTGTATGAATTTTATACTATTGGATTAAAATAGATATAAATGGAATCAAATTTTACCGTTGTTGTGATTTATGACTTGTATGATTCAAGATACTAGCTATCGTATTATATAGATATACAGGGACGAAGCCAAAAAATTGTGTGAAGATGAGCCCGAATATTTTAACAAATTCTTATTTTTTTTCTTACAATTGATGGAAATAAGATAATAATTTATTTAATTATATCTTATTTAATACTTAAAAGTTCATTAAACTCAACATACCAAAATTTGGTATGCCTAGTATATACAAACGATAACACTTTTTTTTATAAGATATTGGCTAATTAAATTTATTTAGAATTGACTCTGGTGAATTTTCGTACTTTAAAAATATTTCATGACAACTTTATTATTCTTTATATACACAATCATGTTATAATTTTGATATTTATAACTCATTTGATCAATTATGCAATTCATTGTGCGTTCTATAATTTCTATCATAATTAGCAAAAATAAATGTCAAAATTACAAATAAACTAGCGAATATATATATCATGTTTTTTTAGTCTTAGAAAGTATAAAATAATTCTAGTATATTCAAATTTTATCTAGATAGGTACATAACCTGTCCAAAATGTGTCAAAAAATTCATATTCATTTAATATAAGTATATACTAGTTGATGTACCAAAAAAAATAGGGTGGACATAATTACAATTATTCATTTGATACAAGTGTACATTAATTGATGTGCTAAAAAATAGAGTGGACATAATTAAAAATATTGAAGAAATATTTAAATATATATTCACTATATTATAACAGTGGGCCTAATATTTTTTGCTTTGAATTTGAGTGGGCACAAGTAATATATTATACAAATATATAATACATATATACCTATGAAATAATAAAAAAAAATAAAATTGAGGGGGACACTTGCCCACCACCCTGGACCATAGCTGTCTTCGCCTTCGTAGATATATACTAACAATAATCATGTGCTTGAAAATATTATGAAATACAAAAATTAAACAGCGATCATGCAATGTAACTTGCCTGATTCATTCTTTAATAGTAATTTATTTTTATTTTTTAAATTACATAATTTGAAATTAAAGTGAAGAGAAAATAGGTGTAGATTAATAAGATTGTTTGACATTGAGGAGTAGGGGTGTTAATCGAACCGAATTTTGTAAGTTCATTTTTTTAAACAAGGTTAAAAAATTATTCAAGTTTGACTTGTTTAGAAAATGATCCTAAAGTCGAATTCGAATGGTTTTACTATTTTACATATAAACGAGCGGAGCCTTTAAAAATTGTTTAAACTCAACTTGTTTAAAACATAAGTCGAGCTCGAGCCGAATTATATTTAAGTTACGCCCGAATAACTCGTCTAGATTAACTCCTTTATTAAAGAGTATGGTGAAACTATTGATTGAATTCTCTGGCATCGGAGACTGTGAATAAAATATAATGTTTTGAGCGGACAAAAAAAATTTAGAAAGAATTTTATACTATTGAATTAAATAATGAATTAAACTTAATCGTTGTTATGCTTTTATATATTTCCAATTTATCACATAAGGAGACCACTGGAATTAATGATCAGTGATGTATCAGTAAATGAAAATATATTAAAAAGGATCCAAATCTCAATGGAGCCAAGTTGGTCCTTCCATCCAACCGTTTTTACAATCCACTACAGAAGCAACCCCATAACTTGCAAAGCTTCAAAACATGTGACTTCCATTGTGTTGTTCACAAAGGAATTGCAGATAACTTATAGTAAAATTTAGACTGAACTCTTTCCACTGAATAGGCTGATTATTGAGTCGAACTTTATAAGTTTGAGTCAAGTCTGTCGAGCTCGTTTATTTAAACGAGCCGACTCGATTAAAACTGATCCCCTGAAAACTGTTTGAGACCTGATACACTAGTTTCCCCATTTATAACATGCTGATGATGTTTTCAAATCTCCATCACCACCTGCAACAGTTACCCAGCTAGTTCCAGAGTCCTTGCTTATACCTTTACTCTTCATACTGCTTCTCAAGTTGTCAACAGAATCCCAATTTCCAATAGCTGCATAAAAATTCGAAAGTGCTACATAATTCCCAGGCTTATTTGGTTCCAACTCAAAGAGATGCTTTGCAGCAAACTCACCCCTCACAAAATCCTGATTAATTCTACAAGCATTTAATATCGCTGCCCAAACTGCTGCTGTAGGCTTAGTACTACCATTCTTCACCATATCATTATACAGACACCATACTTCTTCTATCAATCCTGCCCGGCCTAAGATATCTATCACGCAGGCGTAATGCTCTGGACATGGATCGATACCATACTTCTCTTGAAATAAAGCAAAATAATTTCGACCTTGTTCCACCATACCGGAATGTCCACAAGCTGATAAAACAGCAAGAAATGTCACGGAATTTGGAAAGACGCCTTTTCCCTCCTTCCTCATCATCTCAAACCCTTCAAGGGCTGCAACACCATGACCGTGAGTTCCATATGCATCTATCATGCTTGTCCAAGAAACCACATCTTTTCGAGGAATTCCTTCAAAAACTACACGCGCTGTCAAAATTTTCCCACATTTTGCATACATGTTTAGTATTGCATTGCACAATTGGATATCAGATGTGAACTCCTGACGGATTCCAACACCATGTATCTGCTTCCCAATCCATAAATCTGAATTCTCAGAGCATGCAGAAAGAGCACTAGTAAGTGCAATTGTATTAGGCTTCATAGTACTCATAATTGACATAGCCACATCATACTTTTGGTTACGGACGCACCCAGATATCAATGAATTGCACATTATATCGTCCTTTCTCCAAAGTAACTTGTTATAGATTTTCAGGGCATCATCAAAATACCCACAATTCGAGTAAAAATCAATTAAAGCTGTACTAAGCACTACTAAATCGCGGCCCATCACAATAACCAACGCATGAACTTGCTTACCCTGCCTATAAGCTTTCAAGGAAGAGCAAGCTGTAAGCACAGAACACAATGTGAACTCACTGAACTCCACTCTCTCCGTCGTCATTTCTTCGAAGATACCAAGTGCTTTCATAGGCAAACCATGGTCTAGAAAATTAGAAAGCATAGCATTCCAAGTGACCACATCCTTGAAACCCATCTCGTCAAACACACGTATAGAGTCACCCAATTGGCCATAATTAGAGTACATGTCAATGAGGACAGTTTTCACGATAGTTTCGGAGTCCAGACCCATTTTGATAATCAGACCATGGACTTGTAAGCCACGTATCGGATTTGGCAAAACAGAGCACGCTTTCAAGACTGGAGTAAAAGTGTATGAATTCAGATCACAGCGAGTGCGATGCATGTGTAGAAAAAGATTCCATGAGGCATAAGTTTCTCGGTTATGAATATAAGAGGAAAGAAGTGAGTTGAGTGAAGAGATGTCTCCGTGGGGCGTTTCATCGAACAGGTGGTGGTGGTTAATATGAACATTGCGGTTCAGAGCGATGATCATCGCAATGGATGAAATACAGTTATGCGGCCTTTTGGCGGTGAAGTTGCGAATGGAAAGTCGATATAGGGACATTAAAAGTGCGAGGTGTGAGAGTTAGAAGTTTCATATCAACACCACTCTAGTCTAAGTACAAACAAATCGGTAGGAAACCATTCAACTACACTGACTTTGAGACTTGGTAAAAAGACATACAAGCTTTTTATAGATACCGTATCCAACCCTCGTTTCAAAAGAGAGAGGAGAGAGAAAGAATGTGACCAAAGAGATAGAGGAAATAAAGAATAATACATATTTCAAAATTCAAATAAAATAAATTTTTTTATTTTTAATCTTTTATAATTAGAACTCTTTCTCTCTCTATATATAGAGGGAAATATATAAAGATTAATAATTTTTATATAAAATTTATATTTTAAAATTTAAAATAAAATAAAATATCTTCCATTATAAAATATCAGTATAGTAATAGTGAAAAATTGAATGAAGAGAGATGAGTGAGAGAAAATATACAAAGCATCTCAAATTCTTATCTTTTTTTTAAACCTAAATTTAAATTTGGTTNTGAGAGAAAATATACAAAGCATCTCAAATTCTTATCTTTTTTTTAAACCTAAATTTAAATTTGGTTAAAAACTTTCTCCAATGTTTGACCTATACCCAAATCAAATGAAATGAGACTTTTTTTTTTTTATTCAAATTAAGAAAAATTCAAATTCATTCTTAAATATTTAATGGTGAGATTTCATCATTCTTTAAAAATACAATAATCATATTTTACCCTCATTTAAATTTGAATTTTTCTTCCTTTAAATTTGAATTTTTCTATTGGAGAGGTCTATAACAAATTAAGTTTTTATCTCTTTTTTTTTTTTTAAACTCAAATTTGGGTAAATTTATGAGTCTCTATTAGAGATGGTCTAAGAGAGAGAACAATGGATGGAAAACAGAGATAAAAGAGTTAATGAAGAAAATAGTATTTTTATTATTAAAAATATACAAATTGACATGAGTTAACGAAGAAAATGATATTTTTTATTATTAAAAATATAAAAATTGACAAGTGTGAATCACATACCTTATATATGACAGTTATATGTTCTTAATGACTTAAAAAATTTGTGTTTGTCCTTATTGTCAAAATAGATTGGGAAAGTGTATTGACTTCCAATTTTCACATTTTTAAATTTCAAATGATGGGTTACATTGATAATCATCGACTAGACAGTGAGAGTTTTGTGAGATATACTCATTCTATGATTTATATTAATTTGGGATTCAAAATTTAATAAAAAAAATTGATGGATGTAACATTGTTGGATACCAAAAATAAGCTACAAAAAAACTAGCATTCAATGTAATGATTATAATATTCACTCATCTTTAATAAAAAATTTAACTTGATTACTAGAGAGAAATTGTTTTTTTTTTTGGGTACATAAAATAAATATGCAGATAGGCGAGTCCTAGATAGACATTGTGTAACAAGAGCATAGGTGTCCGAGTTTTCATGTGATCATTCTTCTGAGTAATATTTAATACAACGGTGATATTATGTCACTAATAATAACATGATATCTTCAACTAATAACAAAATTTTAAGTGGACAAAATGAACTCACTTCGACTTACATGCAAGAAGAGTGGAGCGTTATTTACTTACATGACAAATTGATTATAAATTTTTGTGAAATCCATTTACTTATTTATCTTCACATTATTGATTAATGATATTACGTTGCATTATCACGTAATCTTACCATTGTAATATATATTTTCTCCATTCCTCCGAGGCTCAATTTGAGCTCTCGGTTATTGAAATTGAAGTTTTTTTTTGGGGGTGGGGGGGTGTGTGTGTGTGTGTGTGTGTGTGTGTGT